CTCCAAGCTGATGAGTTTATTTCCAGTTCATGCCGTACCCTAAGAGTCTTCTGGTGGAAAACGTCAACTCTAAAAAAGATAAAAATATTCATCTGTAGGTTGCAAAATGCATTGAGGAAAACCACGTTCAGCAACCTGCTGAAGACATTGTGCCTCTTTTGGCACTATGCTGACTTGCCAACTGTCTTTCCTTTTGTAATTGCATGCAGTACAGGCTTATTTATCTGCAGCAACAACCCCTCCTGGAAGGCAAAGCTTCTGATGAGCTCAGACCTGCTACAAAACCCCACTGGTGAGCCTCAACAGCCATTCCTTGCAGGAGCAGGCTTGTTTCTGGTCCATTCAGTGGCGCACCAACCCCATCCCAGCTCTTCCCTGCTGGCAGCTGGCTGGCATTGCTGGCGCTTTATGAAAGTCTTTCTAGGAGCTGCTGTCTGTAACAGTGGCTGCACCAGCTGCTTCCCCATTCTCCTCCTGATTTACCAGGAGCTGTGTTTGGCAGCATCTGTCACTGCAGATATCCACTGCTGTAGTTAATGCTAAGTCTCTACAATTAGCTAGCGCTCCGTAAATGCCCTCACAATGTGTTCATGGCCACTGGAAAAGGCTCGTTTCTGTTTTTTTGGCAGATCTTCCTTTCCCATTAAGTAACCAAAGCGCAGGTGGCACCATGTGGCAGGAGAGTGTTTAATAAAGGGCAAGGTCTGCAGTTCTGTGCGTCCTGTGACTCATTTCATGTCTATTTACAATCTCACATTCAACTGGGTGCTTTACAGCACCTTCCCCAGGAGCAATCTTCATCACACTGATGCTTTTTTCATTGCTTCTCTTCTAGCATATTCCAGAACACAGAACACAGGCTTTTTTTTTAGCATTCCCTTCAAGTCAGCAGCCCATCTTTGCTCTCAATCTCTTTTGTTTTTCCTGTTTTTGGCACCTAGCACATTTTTTATTGCCAGATGCACACTGAAGTTCCCCTCTGTTCAGTGCTCAATAGCAGAATGCACAGGACAGTCTGCTGGTGGACTGCTCTGCTCTCTTAAGCAAATTCTCCCATCCCACAAAGTGTGGAGCTGAGAGATCCACCCAGCACTGCTTTTATGTGGGACAGCCCTTACCAGAGAGCCTGTCTCAGACAGGGACATTCTGCAGGGCAGAATGGTCTTCCTACAGTCAGAAACACAGAATCATAGAATGGCCTGTGTTGGAAGGGACCTCAAAAACCATCTAGTTCCAACCCTTGTGCCATGAGCATGGTTGCCCATCACTAGATCAGACTGCCCAGAAATCCATCAAGCCTGGCCTTGAACGCCTCCAGGGATGGGGCATCCACAACATGACTGCTTCTCTGGGCAGCCTGTTCCAGAGCCTCACCATATTCTGAGTAAAGAATTGCTTCCTAAGATCCAACCTAAACCTCCCTTCTTTCAGTTTATATCTATTTCCCTTTGTCCTATCACTATCTACCCATGTATCCCTACTGAAAGTAAGCTCCTTTCAAGTACTGAAAGGTTGAAATAAGGTTTCCAGGAGTTTTCCCTTCTCCAAGGCAAACAATCCCAACTCCCTCAACCTTTCATCATAGGAGAGATGCTTCAGCCCTCTCATCATAGCAGAGATGCTTCAGCCCTCTCAGCATCCCTATGGCCTCTCCTGATCTCACTCCAACAGGTCAGCATCCTTGTGTAGGGGGCTCCAGGCCTGGAGACAGTACTCCAGATGTGGCCTCACAAGGGCAGAGTAGAAAGGAACAATCACTTCCCTTTTCCTTACTAGCCACCTTTCTTTTGATGCAACCTGGCATACCACTGGCTTTCTGGGCTGCAAGAGCACACTGCTGGCTCATGTCCAGCTTTTCATCCATCAGTACCCCAAGCCCTCAACAGGGCTGCTCTTTAAGGGTTAATCTCCCAGTTTGTACACATATCTAGCATTGTCCTGACACAAGTGCAACACTCTATGCTTGGTCTTATTGAACCTCATTAGGTACTTGTGGAGCCACTTTTCAAGCATGTCCACATTCAGCTTCATGAAGTGTTCTTGGACTTGCTCTGCTCTTACACTGGGAGGGATTTTGCTCTCCTGATCCCCAGCTGGAAGTTCAGGGATATAAGAGACTTGGGAAGCCTGACTGGCAGCAAAGACTTAGGCAAAGAACTCATTAAGTACCACAGCCTTCTCCACATCTGAGGAAGCCAGTTTCCTGTTTCCATTTATCAGAAGGGATGGAGGTCTTCATCCTACCAACACCACACTCCACTGAATGCAACAACTGCTGTGAGTGGGCATTTATCCTCCATGACACTGCTACCCCCAGGGCTTTTACAAGGAGTAAAAGAGAGAGCCTTAGGGATTCATCTGTCGCCACAGTGTCCTTCCAAGGGTGACAGGGTGCATGGATGATCCTCCCTGTGATTTGTCCTCTCATGTTTAGCTCAAGCCAGATGCCACCATCCAGCAAAATAACAAACATAACAACAAACAAACCTGTGATCTTGCTGTCATCTCAGGTTGCTTCTCCAGAGGAGCCCCATTTGCAGTGAAACATCCACCCAGCACCTAACGAATGGGCTGCAAGAAATGAGAGCTGTAACTCGGAAATGAGAGCACCTGCTTGACAGTAGCAGATCATGCTCCTTTTGCAATGGATTCTCTTATATTTTATTTTTAAATTAAAACAATGCTTAACCTTTATAAATTGTGATTTAGGCTTATAAGAAAATAGACTCAGGAATAAGTAGCTTGCTCCAGCGTGAAATTGAATAAATCTGAGTTGAATCACAGAGTGTTACTTACAGAATAACAGTAAATGATGTGTGTGGTTTATTGTTAAACAAGAGCAGAGCTCTGGAAATGAGGTTAAAAGGAAAGCCGTCAAGGGTGTATTTTGCAGCTGTTTCCCAGGCAAAAAAAGAAAACGCTGTTAAAGAGGAATTAGGATGGGAGCATTTATCAGTTATTGTATGGAAACAAGTCCTAGCAAGGCAAAACCAGCAATACCAAGAAGGTGAGGGAAGCAAGGGGCACGGTCGAAGAATAAAAATTGAAGAATAAAAATAAACCAGCAGAGCCAGAAAAACTAGAGTAATTCCAGCTTCTTCCAGTATTTGCCAGGTTTATGATAGATGGGATGTGTCCATCTTTCCTGTTGCTGCAGGTCCCCATGGGGAGCATATTTTCTGAAGCACTGAGCACTGGACACAGCTGGCACAACGTGCCTTTGATTGCAGCCCCTTTAGTGCAACTGGGCTGCTGAACCCACCCCTCACCCTGTCAGCTCTGTGCTGGGTGGGCACTGAGAAGGTCTGCTATTCTCTCCAGCAGCCGACCTGCTGGTTCTTGGCAGTGCCTGGCCAATAATTGGCTCTGAGGTTTTTGAGAAGAATAGCATTTAGGTTCTGAGCAGATACAAGGATCTTCTAGTTTTCCAACATTATTTTACATTATTTCTCCCATCTGAGTAAGAGCTGAATGTCAGCCCTGCCTGACTGGGCTGAAGGAAAACCCTTCTTTCATGGCAGAGTTTGGGATGCAATATAACTGCTGCAAACCAACAGCTAACATCTATGGGAAGTAGAACCCTACAGTTAGTGCCCTCAAGGTACAGGGACAAGCCACACAGAGAGACATGAATGCATCTCCTCATAACAAAGACCGTGAACAGTCATAGCTCCCGGCAGGGGAGAGCGGTGTATCCCTGCAAACCGCATAGGCAGGGAGATGAGAAGACACACGTGGGGAATCAGGGGATTGGAGGGGCAGGAAGGGACCTGAGGAAATCCCCCCCCGTCCAGACCCCTGCTAAGGCCACCTCGTGAAACGCGGTATGCAGGAAAGCACAGCAAGCAGCCTGCCGTGCAGTGTGCAGTGCTGCAGAAAGGAACCCAGGCGGAGGCACCGCCCCCACTTGGTGCTGCTTGTGAACCAGAAGGCTGGCTCAAAAAGAATCCAAGTATCAGAAAGTGTAAACCTGTGGAACGAAGGGATGCCATTCAGAGGGACCTCAACAGACTTGAAAGGCGAGCCCGGGAGAATCTAATGAGGTTCAACGCAGCAAAGTGCCAGCTTTTGCACTAAGCGTATTTCCAGATGGAAAGGAACAGTCCTTGGGAGCAGCCCTGCAGAGAAAGACCTGGGGGTCTGGTGGAGGAAAAACTTAACGTGAGCCACGTGTTAAGCACATGGTGTCCCAGGCTGCATCAGAAGAGGGGTGGCAGCAGGGACAAGGAGGTGATTGTCCCTCTCTACTGTGCCTTGTGAGGCCCCAGCTGGAGTCCAGGCCTGGAGTCCCCAGTACAAGAAAGACAGGGAGCTGTTGGAGGGGGTCCAGAGGAGAGCCACGAAGATGAAGAGGGTGCTGGAGCACCTCCCCTACGAGGACAGGCTGAGGGAGCTGGGCTTGTTCAGCATGGAGAAGAGAAGGCTGCAGGGTGAGCTCATTGCAGCCTTCAGTACCTAAAGGGAGCCTACAGACAGGAGGGGAGTCGACTCTTTGAAAGGGTGGATAACAGCAGGACAAGGGGAAATGGTTTTAAGTGGAGGGAGGGAAGATTGAGGTTGGATGTCAGGGGGAAGTTCTTCACAGAGAGAGTGGTGAGGAGCTGGAACAGCTGCCCAGAGAGGCTGTGGATGCCCCGTCCTTGGAGGTGCCCAAGGCCAGGCTGGATGGGAAGCTGGGCAGCCTGGTCTGGTGTTAAATGTGGAGGTTGGTGGCCCTGAGTGTGGCAGGGGGTTGGAGCTTGATGATCCTTGCTTGAGGCCCTTTCCAACCCAAGCCATTCAATGATTCTGTGATTCCAAACAATTTGCGAAGGAGAGATTCACGTGGAGACGTGCAGTTTTTATTTTCCCAGCTCTATCGCCGCCACAAAGGGCAGTCGGTGAACGATGAGGGGTGATAACGATGCAGGCCCAGCCCGGTGCCCAAAGGCACGCAGCCCTGCGCTGTGAGCTCACCGGCCAAGGCGCTGTGACAGCAGCGGAGATGGCTGTGAGCTCACGGAGCCGCCCTGCAGAACCCGGGGCGCGGCAGAGCCCGGCATCACTCGTGCCCGGACTCCGGTCGAGCGCGGCAGCGAGACTCGGAGGCGCGAACGAGAGACTCGGTTTGGGCCGTGCTGCGGGGCTGCCGGCGGCAGCTCCCGGCGCTCAGCCCGCGGCATCGCCAGCGTTCCCCCGGCCCTGCCCGGCTCGGGCGGCCGGGGCCCCGCGGGGTGCGCTCGCGGCAGCGGAGGTGAGCGGTGCGGGGACGCGGCCCCGGGGCGGGCGGCGGGGAGCGGGGCCGGGGCTTCGTGCGGACGGAGCGGGGCGTCGCCCGGGGACGGCGAGTGACCGCGGCCTCTTCTCTTTCGCAGCTCTGACGGCTCCGGCCCGCCGCGGCGCCGCCGAGGGGAGCGGCTTTCCCGGCTCGGCTCTCCCCGGCCCACCGCACGCCCGGGGCCATGGAGCTGCCCTCGGACTGGACCTGCCCCGTCTGTGGGCGGAACCGGGCCGAGGCGGCCTACGTGACGCCCTGCCGGCACCAGCTCTGCTTGGGCTGTGCGCTGCGCTGGGCGAAGCAGCATCGCACCTGCGCCGTGTGCGAGGAGAACATCGAGGCCGTCCGGTACGCGGTGCAGGCGGAGGAGGATTTCCTCGCGTGCCCCATCCCGCAGCCTGCAGGGCGCTCCGAGGACGAGCAGGAGGACGAGCAGGAGGAGGAGCAGGGCTCTGCAGAGCCGCAGCTCGAGGCTCCCGAGCACAGCTTCCCAGCCGAGACCTGGGCGGACTTCTTCCGAGGAGATCCGGGGGACCTCGAGCCGCTGCTCCGGTGGATCCAACAGGAGCTCGAGGACATCATCGGAGAGGAGTGGTGGACAGTGGCTGCGGCGCGGGCTGATATCATGCACCTGCTGTGCCTGTTCGGGCTCAGCGAGGACACCCTGAGCCTGAACTTGGAGTCGTACCTGCAACACCACACAAGTCGTGTGTTCGTGGCGGGGCTCATTGACACCGTTACGGCCCTGTACGGCCCAGAGCTCCGCCGGCAGCAGGACAACCAGGCTGCCCGTGAAACAGGAGGGCAGGACGGCCCCGCGGCCACCCCCAGCCCCGCCACCTCCCCGCAGGAGCCTCCTGCCCCCAGCCCGAGCCGCTCCACCAGCCCTGCAAGCCCCGGCGCCGAGCGGCTCCCCGGCGTCCCTCACGGGGGGCCCGAGCCCCGACCCGCCGCCCCCGTGTCCCCGCAGGAGCCGCAGGAGCAGCCGGGGCAGGCGGCGGCAGCGGGCCCCTCCGCCCAGGGCACGGACCAGCAGCCTGGGGGGCCCCGACGCCCCCCGAGGAGGAGGGCCAGCAGCTGCCCCCCGGATTTGCCCCCGTCCCCCAAGAGGCGGCGCTAGGCCGGCACCCACTGCGGTGCTGAGCACGGCTCGCGGCTTGGGAGGCCATCAGTGATCTTGGACTGCTTTTATAGACAATAAATTATTTCAAAAAAATGCAAATGTCTCCATGTTATTGATGGTGAAGTTGGGTTTGCTGTCCCTCCCCACGTCGGTTTCTCCCTCTCCTGATGCTGGGGAGGACACAGAATCTTAACTTCCATGTTCAGAAACCAGGAGAGAGTGCTCCTGTTTGCAGCTCACGCTGAGGTGGGTGAATGGGATTAACGGCAACTTTTTGCTCATTCGCTGATACCAAACCCCAAACACCAACCTGCGTCTCCTACTGAAAAAAAACTAAAATGAAAGAATCTCCGCAGTCACAGAAACGTAGGGGCAGGAAGGGACCTGAGGAAATCCCCCCCGTCCAGACCCCTGCTAAGGCCACCTCGTGAAACGCGGTATGCAGGAAAGCACAGCAAGCAGCCTGCCGTGCAGTGTGCAGTGCTGCAGAAAGGAACCCAGGCGGAGGCACCGCCCCCACTTGGTGCTGCTTGTGAACCAGAAGGCTGGCTCAAAAAGAATCCAAGTATCAGAAAGTGTAAACCTGTGGAACGAAGGGGTGCCATTCAGAGGGACCTCAACAGACTTGAAAGGCGAGCCCAGGAGAATCTAATGAGGTTCAACGCAGCAAAGTGCCAGCTTTTGCACTAAGCGTATTTCCAGATGGAAAGGAACAGTCCTTGGGAGCAGCCCTGCAGAGAAAGACCTGAAAGCAGCCTGCCGTGCAAGACGGTGAGTGCATGCTGCAGTCTGGTCTCACAGTGAGGTGGTTGAATAGGATCTGTAGGAGGCTATCAGTAGTCACGGAGCCTTTTTGTTAGAGGCAATTGTGTCCCGCAATACACGACCACCATCCCAAGCAGTGAGTGGGAGCCTTGTGCACCCCACCGAGCTCCTTGCCAAGTCTTTTTCAGGTGAACGGTTCCACCAAGCTGCGGATGAAGCTGGGAGTGCGGCAGCCAAACCCCCATGTGCAAAGAAGCCGGTTTCGTGCTGCCCGGTTCCCCTGCGGCGCAGCAGCACGGCGCGGTGCGGCCGTTTGAGCCGTTCGAGCGGCCGTTGCTCAGCCCGGCGCAGCTACTGGCTGATCCCCCGCCCAGCCCCCTGCTGAAGGCAGATCGTCGAGTGTGAGCCAGCTGCGTGCTGTGCCGTGAGCGTTTGGTTCAGAAAGGAAGCCTGACATAGGCGTTACCACCACTTGGTATTGCTTGTGAATCAGATCAAGTCGAAAAGCGTCAGTCAGAACGTGTAAACCGTTCATGGAAAATGGGTTATTATCGGAGATAGTAAATGTGCAATTTTTATTCTCTCAAATCTGAAATGCAAGAATCTCCCTATCACAGAATCCCAGAACTGTAGGGCTCAGCCACAAGACTTGGAGGCACAAACCAGACTTTGTTTGGGCCGTGCTGTGGGGCTGCCGGCAGCAGTTCCTGGTGCTCAGCACACAGCATCGCCAGCGTTCCCCCAGCCCTGCCTGGCTCAGATCTCCTGAGAGATCAGTTTGTTTCTACACCCTGAACCCAAGCACTCATGATAGTGGTGTAAAACAAACATGTGCCCCAGAAGGCAGAAGATCACTCTTGTCTTCTTGTGATAATAATCTGATCGCAAGGACCAGGCTGATTTCCTCTCATAATGTCTACTCTGGGCCTCCAGAAAGTAAATTCAAGAAAATATGCATCTTTGTTGTTTTTGTTCCTGTTTAAAAAAAAAATAATAAAATAATGAATGCAGATCTATGGGGATTATAAATGTAGTCTGATTTCTGAATCTTTCTGAAGTTTCTTGAAAGAAACTTCAGTTTCTTCCTGAAGTCCTTGGTACTTCCTGGCTAGATAATAAGATGACCTGCAGGATGATGGCTGTTGCATTGCCTCCTACGGTACTGACCTAAAACCAGGCCAGGACCAAATGACTGCACGCACACACCAATATGATGAACAGCAAAATGGCCTTTATTACACGTGAACTCCAGCTTATATAACCTATGTGCTTCGTCTATGCCCCTAAGGGCACGTGCCACACATCAATCATAGAGCAGGGAGAGGGCCTGTCGCGTCACATCCTGTGGGGGGGTCTCGCAGTTGCTGACAACATCTCCCCCTCTCCAAGCTCAAGAAAGTCTACTACAACTCAAGAGGACCCTACCCGCGTACGCCCCGAAATCCCCGCATTGCGCCTATCCATGCTGTTGTCCTCTCGGTTAAGCCTTGCCCCGTTACATCCCGATTCGCAGAATAATCCTACCCTAATAACTCTATAACCTATCAACCTAATTACAACCTATTAACTTAATAATCCTCTGTGAGTAGAGCCCATTAGGAGAAACTCCTAATATCCAACCTAAACCTCTTCTGGTATAACTTCTGGCCGTTTCCTCGGGTCCTTCACGTGGGCGATGTAGTGCCCTGAGTATGCACTCACACCTCGGTGTATGAGAACAGCACTCAGTTCATATACATAAACACCATTTTTTTGTTCCATAAAAGGCTCCATGTCGAGCAGCTCAGAGAAGCCAATGTAGGTGTTCAGCTTTTTCTTATGGCCAGTTTGTCTGTCAAACATGAAACGCATCAGCTGCGGGTTGAGTGTGCAGGGAAGACTTAGCAGCCTGATCTTCCTTGTGGCATTCTGCTTACTCTGACAAGTTTCGCAAAAATAACGATTGTCACAGAATCACAGAATCACAGAACTGTAGGGGTTGGAAGGGACCTCCAGAGATCATCGAGTCCAACCCCCTGCCAAAGCAGGTTCCCTACAGCAGGTCGCACAGGTCGGCATCCAGGCAGGTCTTGAACATCTCCAGAGAAGGAGACTCCCCCACCTCCCTGGGCAGCCTGTTCCAGTGCTCCTCACCTCACTGTAAAGAAGTTCCTTCGCACATTGGTGCAGAACTTCCTATGCTGCAGTTTCCAGCCGTTTCCCCTTGTCCTGTCTCCACTCACCACTGAAAACAGTCTGGCCTCGCCATTCTGCCCCCCACACCTCAGATATTTATAGACCTGGATCAGGTCCCCTCTCAGTCTCCTTTTCTCAAGGCTGAACAGACCCAGTTCACTCAGCCTTTCCTCATAGCAGAGATGCTCCAGGCCCTTCACCATCTTTGTGGCCCTCCGCTGGACTCTTTCCAAGAGATCCTTGTCTTTTTTGTACTGGGGTGCCCAGAACTGGACGCAGTGCTCCAGATGAGGTCTTACCAGGGCAGAGCAGAGGGGGAGGATCACCTCCCTCGACCTGCTGGCCACACTCTTTTTAATGCACTCCAGGATGCCATTGGCCTTTTTGGCCACAAGGGCAAACTGCTGGCTCATGGCCAACCTGTCATCCACCAGGACACCCAGGTCCCTTTCCGCAGGGCTCCCCTACAGCAGCTCATCCCCCAACCTGTACTGGTGCATGGAATTATTCCTCCCCAGATGCAAGACTCTACACTTGCTTTTGTTAAACCTCATCTGGTTTTTTTCTGCCCAGCTCTCCAGCCTGTCCAGGTCTTGCTGAATGGCAGCACGGCCTTCAGGCGTGTCAGCCAATCCTCCCAACTTCGTATCATCAGCAAACTTGCTGAGGGTGGCCATTATCCCCTCATCAAGGTCATTGATGAAGATGTTGAACAAGACTGGACCCAGCACAGACCCCTGAGGAACACCGCTGCTTACAAGCCTCCAACCGGACTCTGCACCACCAACAACAACCCTCTGTGCTCTGCCAGTCAGCCAGTTCTTAACCCACCTCACTGTCCA